CTCGGTGTAGATACTTACGCGCTTGTATCCACGACTACGTACCGATACACAGATGTCAGGTAGATTAACAGGAACAGGCAAATGTACACAGATAGATAGACAGGTAGATAGATACTCGCTTACGGGAGGTGGCGAAGGCCGAAGTCCCTCTCAGTAATGAAGAGAGACTGCTGCAGACATACTGAGTTGCTTACAGCCGCGGTGCACAAGAAAGGCGACCAGGGTTTTTATTCACACACCAGTGTACCTACTTGTATATACGTATGTGTATATACGTATGGAGAGATAGGCGGAGAGAGCAATAGGCGGGTAAAGAGATAGAGAGATAGACGACAAACAGAGAGACAGGAACAATGCAGATAGATAGGTGGGCAGACAGGTAGACCGACAGATAGATAAGATCTTACGTGAGGTGGCCGAAGTCGAAGTCGCTTTCGGTATTGAAAAAGGACTGTTGCAAATATACGGGATAAAGTGGCTTAGACTGCGCATTGCCCGGATGGACAAGAAAGGCGACTGAAGTTCCCTGTTGTATGCACCGAACCGGATTCAAAATTCCGGGATTGAGGAGGTCGTCGCGCTCGACCGGAGAATCCCGCCTGCGCAGCCGCACACAATAGAACCCCCTATATCAGCTGAGTAAGCCTCCTGTGTGCTGCGCGCAGGTGGCTGCTGCGTATTCACCATCTTCCTTCTCATATCCACATATGTCCATACATGTATGTGTATACGTACATACTTGTAGACGTAAATATGTGTATACGTACACGTGTATACATATATATATATATATATATGTATATTTGTACATAGACATGTATATAAATATGTATATATATATATATACATATATATTTCTCTGCATAATGTTTATCTGGCGTACGTGTGTATGGATATCCACACCTGTTTATCTGTGTCAACCTTACTCCCCCGCACATATTCTCAATGCTGCATATAGATATATATGTTGATGGAGCGAGTACCGCACACAAAATGTGCCCTTCGATCAAGACGTCTACTGTTCGCTGCCGACTTTATAGCAGCATTGCCGGCCCCGCTCGTCGGAAACAGTACGAATACTGCCATATCGAAAAGGCAATACAACAGGATGCTTAGAGCGCGCATGTCTATCTGTACCGGTGGTCTTTGACAGTGACCTATGCTTGATACTTGTAGCGAATATGTACGCTACTAGGTCACTTACTGTACGTATGTGTATTTGTTCAGATTGTCTTTTCTGGCCGCATTTACTTAGCATGCTGGTGCAAACACTTAGACTAGTGAGTCGCTTTCGTGCAGAATGTGTGGTGGTCCAGCCTGGCAGACATTATCATATTCAGATATCACTCTCATGTACTTCGTGTCGAGAAGATGTGTCTCTAATCTGACAAAACGGAACTGATCATTCTCATTTGCGGTTCTTATGTAATTCTCCTCAAGTGGGTGGCGTTGCCTATCTCGGTAGACTGTTAACATTCTCATGTGTGGGTCTTACGCGAAGTCGTTCTCATGATTGTTCTCAGGAATTTCTCCATTGGTTGCTCTTCTGCCTAAGCCACTTGCCGTGAAGAAAGTGCCTGGAGTAGTATTTGTTGTGAGGCGACCCTCGATGTTCGTTTGCAGATCAGTTGGCGTACCGAAAAGGCCTTTCAGTCCAGCTGCAAAGGGAGCAGAAACAGCAGCTCACACTTCACCCGCGTATCGATATATGTACGTATATATATATATATATATAAATGTGTGGAGGTATCTATCTATGTGTCTGTCTATCTATGTAAATATATACTAGTAAATACATATATATATATATATATACATATCTGTATGCATACGCATATATATATATATATGTATGCATATATGCAGATATCTACATGTACTAATGCATACACACATATATATATACATATACGAGTCTATGGGAAGAGTACACGGAATATTGACCAGCTACGATGCCTAGATGATGCAGAAAGTGTGTATAGCTTATTTAACGAATATTGAACGGAGGAGCAGCTCTTTACTTCATCCGTCAGCCTGAAACGTCGTTTTGTCGCACTTCACTCCTCCAGTCTCCAGACATCCACAGGTACATGTGCAGAAAACTACTGAATCTCTATTCGCAAACATATACTCATACACAGGGATGGAGACAATTATCAAAGTATCCACACGCGTACATATATGTGTACAGCTTCATACACGTAAATATATATATATATATATATACGTACATATATGTACATATACGTATATATGCGCATCTGCCCGTAGACTCGCTATACTGTGTGTCTTCCTCAGGTTTTGTTGCTGCGGCCTGCACAACAGATGCATCACAGAAATAATGGAGAGTCTCATTCGCCTTCTGGCCGGACACTTTCAACTTTTCAGAACTTCCTTCTGTGTCTCTCTTCCTGGCTGTCGAGCGGAGGTGGTTAGTAGGAGAGAAATGAAATAGGAGATGTAGGTTTACGCTTTCAGTGAAGAGAGTTGAAAAGGAAGGGGAAGAGGGAGTACGTGCGTACCTTCAGTGCAGTTGAACACGATGACTGGACAGCCAGCAGTTTCATTACAGGCAGGTTCACCCGCCATAATTAGAGAACGACCCGAAAGCTTTGAAAGAGGAATAGACGCCAAAGGCGCAGACTCCGAATCCAGGAAAACCAAGTCTGTCTTTGTCAGTTTCATCGTCTGCATGCGCCGACGGCAACTGATGTCGCACACCTGCGCAGTCAAAATTCAGGAAAAAAATCAGCTGTATCATCTACTATGAGGAGGAGTCAAAGTGTCCGAGACGTCTAGACAAAAGCCTGTGTATACGTATGTGTAGTAAAGTCTGGACTACCCGTGAGACTTATAATCTACCTCTTACAGAGTGCCAACACCATGCTGCGTAAGAACGGACTGGAGTGTTTGAGATGTCCAGGCACGTGCATATGTGTCTGTATATGCAGTAGCGTACGAATCATCCATATGACGTACAAACGATGTGGAGAAAGGTAAGTCTGGGCATTACCTTCTACCGTTAGGAGGAATCGAAGTGCCTAAGATGTCTAGTCGTACGGATACGTATATGTGTATGCAGGAATGCGTGGACTATGAATACGGCATAGAATCTGCTTGGTACAGCGTGAGTCTCAGTGTCTTATAATGTAAGAAGGAACCGCCGTGCGTGTGACATCTATAGACGGCTCGCTGAACGCGCCTTAATGATATAAATGCTCCAGCCCTCCTGTGTATCTTCCCAGTTACTATTACTACGTGTATATGGCTAGTCGTGGATGGCTGAGGTATTTACGTAGATGTATATATTTCAGAAGACGTGGGAGGCTCTTGCCATGCCCATTTTTCTTTTTGCTTGTGTGCTCAGCTTGCAATTGAGTAAGAAGGCATCGGGGGCCTGCCATGACCTCTACAAACCACCCACACACCTACCTCGTCCGCTGTCTTCAAGTCAGTACAGATGCAGCTATTGAGCTCTGCGTGATATGTTCCAGTTCCTGAAGCACACTGTTGGGCACATAGCTCCGTGGGGTCGATACACGCTCCTTCGAAATCGCGTACAGTACTTCCGCCGCAGCTCGAGTAGACCTGATGAAACGCACACACACACATATGTAAATAGACATACACGTATGGACGCACACACACACATGCATACTTACATGCATGCACAAGCAAGCATACATAGACACACAGACGCACGTACACGTATACACATATACCCACGTAGACGCGCACCCCCACACAGACGGACACATACGCATACCCATGCACAAACACATACACACACGCGTACAAATATGTCTGCGAAGCATCTTCGTAGCTTCATCCGCATCAGGGACGCAGCAGGGTGATGTCCGAGACAAATGGTCCGACAAGGGACCGGAGGTGATGGTTCTACGTGTACAAGAACCCAGTGAAAGTCATGGCCTGCATGAGTCCCTCCCTTGCGTTGTACAAGCGAAAGACCTAGTGGAAGAGCTGTCCCACGTGGCAGTATTGTGCTGTACACACGAAGTAAGCATACGTTCATATACACATATATATGTACGTACCCCGTTTGCATAGCTATATGTATGTGTGTGTGCTTATACAGATATATGTGCAGATGTATTTGTGAAGGATTCAGTTGCCGTATGTCCAGCACGAATCTTTTTCTTGTGTCGTACCCATGAAAAGCGTATGAGGGACTAATCGGCAGTGGTGTCTTCCTGCCCGACTTGTTCTAAACAGCAGCAACGAACAGCAAGAGGCGGAATTTCTACGCAAAGAAGAATAACGCACATGATCATCAATATACGTGCCGCACAAGCCATTCTGTGAAATGGCTCCTACTTGACGACCGCGGAAATATACCTCGTGGTGTGGAGAGGGCTATATCTATGGTCGAAAGCAGACTACTACCCCTTTCCTCGATATTTGGAAAGTTCTACACCGATAAAGGAAACCTGAGGAGGATCCCTGTTCAAATTCCATCGCCCCACTCTGGCGACAGCACAGATATACAGCACCGTGTACAGAAGGCCACAGCTGTGATAGACAGTAGATATACTACCACGCCTAGACAAAGCAACCTCATGCTTCGTACATACGAAGGATTCAGTGAAAGTGCTGTTCCACGTAACTTCGTTTGTGTCAGAGTGTCCAAAGGAAGCACCAAGTATGAGCCCCCCTTCACCCATATCCGTTTATTGCGTACACGTGAGTAGGAGGTGAATACAGTATGGATGTAGCTACTACACTATATATGATGTGTGTGTACATTAGTACATATCGCAAGACGCGTCATTTGCAGGTGCATGGAGTAGGGATGTGGCTATCACCTCATCTGCGTGTGCCTGAATAGCTAGACCCTCCTTATTGGAAAGGGAGGGGGAGGCCCAAGGGAGACAGGCTGAACTGAGAATGACGTGGGACACTGCTGCGCACACGACTTTGTATGGGGCGAGATACGTGGATAGATAGAGGCAGCACTACGAGACAAATATATATATATATATATATATATATATATACTTTGCAGATACATACACGTACAGATACACAAACAATCAGTACAGGAGAATCGCCTGGAGATGCCTGCAGACTATGTATATATCGTCGTACCGAAAAATCCCGTCTCTGTCTGCACGTATGCGGATGCATATATGCACAGACATATACATGTATATGTGTATATACGTGTATATATATGTATATATATATATATGTACATGTGTATCTTTATATATGTATACGTGCACGTGCATATATATATGCAAAGACGTATATGTGTAAATAGTGCCTAGCCCTCTTCTTCCACATATATATACACATGGATTTACGCAATCTTGAACAGGTACCGATGCATCGCTGCTGAGGTGTAGTTCCTTGCTGCTGCGCTGTAATTCGATGGAATGAGAGGTGCTTCCTCTGTGGACGAGGCCTCAGCTTCGCCAGCTCTTTACCCGTTCTACGCAGTCCGTACTTCCGTCCTGAAGAGAGAGGTCTACCCCATTCTCGAAGGAGCCAGAACCTCTGCTGCAAATGCAGGCATGAATGCTTTCTTGGTAGAACCTGTGGCAACAGAACCACACAATCTCACATACTTAGTTGGCGCTGTCGTAGACCTGTTGCAGCAAAGTCGTTCAGTGTGACATACGGTCGGACTGGCTGTATGATGGATCTGTTGCAGCCCATTCACACATCTTCATCTACTATATGATTGGCCATATTACAGTCCTGCTGCACCAAGGTTTTCCATTTTCATATACTAGCTGAATCATAACATCATGGCTTCGCTGCGGCAAAGTCGAACATTTCCATCTAATGGATGCTTGGCCATATGATGGACCCGACGTGTCAGGGCTACTGGTTCTCACGTACCCACTGATAGGCCGTATATATATATATATATATATATGTATTTGCTTTCTCAGTATCGGCACTTGCCTCTGGAGAAAGTGAGCGTTCTCATTGAGAAGTGGTGTACTCACCTGTTCCTCCCTTCGCATCGACAAGACGTGCCAGCAGCGTCCGCTACAGAACTTCCTCCGCAGAACGCGCACGTCACGCTCCCAGGAGAAGTGGAATGTGAAGATCCCTGTACAGCAGAAAATCAGGTACATAGAATTTGCTGTATACCAGAACAGATATATTTGGCTCCGGATATATGTATATATATGTAGATAGATATATATATATATATACATATATATGCATGTATGGATACATACATGTATATCCAGATACTTGTATGTATAGATATCCCTTCGAGGAATCTATCAGAATTGTCTGGTGAATGTGACCCACATGCAAATGAGCCACCTTTCGAGAAAGTCCCACTAGAGAATGGAAGCAGTGACTTGTGCAAACCTCGGTACAACGGAAGTTCAGGTACGACAACTCTGCTGTATACAAGGTCAGATGAGTAGCTGCGCCAATGTGTGTATATATATATATATATGTACGACAGCATGTCCTCGTATAGTCGGTGGGCGTGTGGCCTGTGTATACAGTGAGCATGGAGAACGACTGACGTGACACAAACTTCATTGTCAAGATCTGCGTATGTTCTCCTTTCCTGTATGCTTCTGAAAAGGGAGTAGACTCAATCTAAGAGTAGCATACGACCTGTGTCTCCAAGCACGAGAATGACTGAGGCGGCAGAGGCGGCATGATAAAAAGAAAGATGACGTGTTCGTATTCGCTTTCTCTTTTAGGCAAACGTGCGTCAGCTGCCACCAGTCGATTCGCGTGTGCGGCATGCAGCCACAGACTACTACCAGATGGAGAAGAGACACTTCACGTTATGTATCGGACGGCCGCTCGTGCTGCTGTGGAGGAATTTGATAGAATCCGTGCACTCGCAAATACAAACAGGCAGTATAAGTGAAGACATACGCTGCAGTATAAACACGATGCAAGAGAGTCTTGACGCTCGTAGGGATTGTAAGTGCCAGCTGGGCAGGGGATCGGCTCGTACGAGCCGGTTGGACAGTAGTGACCCGCAGGGCACGGCTTTCCACTGTCAAGTTCCTCGTCCGTCGGATACCTGGGCCACAAAATATACAAAGCATGTAAACACACGCATATGTATACCTATATACCTGTTTCTCCCTCTTTCTGTCTCTATATAGGTATATATATATACATATATATATATATACACATACATATATGTGTATGGACCTGCGCCGTTTCGCGCCTTGAGGGCGCCCCGGTGCGCGTCAGTTCCTTACAAATCTCTTAACGATGTACCTTCAGCGTCAGCCAGTCGAATCACTGAGTACAGAAGATTCCGGCTGAGACCGTGATCGTTCGTACTGTTCAAAAAAAAAAGCATATCCCTTCGGTGGGCACACGTATGTCCACGTATACGTGTACATACGTACGTATACGTATACATGTATACCCATATGTGAGGGTGCCTCTACGCGCGCCAGTTTGGCTGGAAACTACCAGCAAGGTAATATCACGGTCAGGTAGTGAAGCTAGCGCACAAACGAGACCCGGTATAGAGCGCGATCGACTGAATGTCAAACGGACCGAGGGTATTCGTAGAGTGTGCATATACGTATGTATACAAGTACATTTACATGTGAATATATATGCACATATATATGTGTAGTTATACTAACACGTGTATCTGTCTCTATGTGGATGGCGCGAGCTAGGTTAAATCGGTTCAAAACTACGAACAATGTATTTTCAGCGTCAGGTACTCGGACTAGGGAGCACAAGAGATTCCGCCTACACCGCTGTCATCTGCTGTCGAAGCGGAGGAGGAAGAGTCAGCAGCAGCACCAGCAGCAGCAACAGCATTCTCCGGATGCGCGTATGTATGTGTTCCTTGCTAACATTCCTTCAGTGTGCAGCAACAAACGAGGCATGACTTACTGAGAGTTGCAGCCTCTGAAACACAAGTAGCCTGCTGTACATGGCAGGCATTCCTCCGCTCCTTCCACGGAGGTGTATGTCCCCTGCAATTCGTACATGGCAATATAAGTCGAAGCGGAAGTCGCTAAGCCACAGATGGCAACATTACAAAACCATACACAGGGGTGTACGCGCACCGTCGGTATGCGCGTATATACATACAAAAACATATATATATATATATATATATGTATATATATATATATATATATGTATACACAGACGTAACAGCCGCAGAGACACTACGTCTACACAGGTCTGCAATAGGATTGGTGCTTACGGAGGAGCATAGTTTTCTCTTTCTACAGTCATACGTACTCGCGCTGCTAGATTATGAAGAATGCAACAAGTGCCACCTATATGCCAACAGTGAGTGCGCAGAGAGCTTCTCCTGCTAATAGTAGAGAGGCTTCGGAACCTCTGGGAAGATAATGTGGGTTAGCAGAAGTATATGGCTTCCCAGACAGTCAGCAACTGCCGGCACAACGTGAAGAGGAACACACCCTGTAACGGCTATGGGCGACGCTTACATACCTGTAGAGAAGCATACGTATACATATATACATGTCTGTATGCATATACACGTATACATATAAGTATGTATATCTCTCGTGTACTGTAGATATCCGCGTAACTTTCGTGTGCACATATATATCCTTTAATTGGCTTAGCTGTGACGTCTACGTACTTATATACAAGAGCATGTACATGAGCACGTACGTATACATACGTGTGCATGTATGTAAGCCCTCGTCTATCGTGTGTATCTGGGTAGCAGGGGCGCGTACAGTGTAGCGGTAGAGTCAGCCAGAATCTGTTACATATAGCACGATCCCTCTCCGCCCATAGAAGCAGGTAAATATATGTGCGCTCCCACCTCTCCTGCAGCGATTCAGATTTGTATATACTCAGGGTAGGCGTAGAAACGTCACACGTACAGGAGTGTACATCTCTATCCCTCTCTAGATGTCTATGAGAGTCACAGCCCGTGTAGCGGTCATAGAGACGATATGTATACTCGGGCGCGTATGACGCTTGCAAACCCGTAGATAAACGCATGTGTATACGTATATATTTACAGACACATGTATGCATACATATGTATGAGTGTCTTTCAAGGCTATATTTCTCCGTGTAGGGTGGCTGTGCAGGGTGTAGCGGTAGAGTCAACCAGGACCCGTGATAAGCAGATGAATCCCTCTCTGTGTAGAAAAGCAAACAAGTATAAGCATCCCTTCGCGTTCCGCAACCTTTTAGAGTACATGCACCTCTGGGTCACTCTATACCTTTGGACATTTAGTACATGCTGACTCAGCTGTCCCTCTTCCAGCTGTTACTGCGTTTGCAAATGTGCCTGCAACAACAATATCATTGGCACAGCACACAGGATTATTTGTCCTAGATTTCTTCATGCCGCGCTGGCCGCGCTGAAATTCAAGGACGCAGATATGACACAGCAAACAGCGGCAATTTGCCTTTTTCTAACTAGAAGGAAGCTAACGCCTCTTGCTAGTTGCAGATAGGTAGGGTTGCAGAACCGCAACCGATTCATGCATGGTATGTCGGGTATGCATAAAGAAGCACCCGAGCAAGTGCTACGTACAGGAGGAGGACTTACACACGGATGTACGTGCATGCATACGCAGGGGTAGACATACATGATTGTATACATACATACATACATCCTTACAGATACAAATACAAACACACGTGCCCAAACACATGCATAGATATATACACACTTACGCACGCACATACATGCGTACATGAGTACAGACACGCATGCACCCATACATACACACACACATGCATACATACGTACATACATACATACACACATACAGACGTGCGCAGATACGTACATGCACGCACGCTTACATAGAACCGTACACACAAGCATGCACACAGGCATACACACATACATATACATATGTATGTGTATGTATGAACGCAGGTGTGGAAGCATTGTTTTCCATGCATTCTTGAGGAGTGTGCGCCCAATACGGCTCCGATATTGAGTCGCCTTGTTCCTATTCAGGTGTATCCGACGCACCGGGTGGGCAGGATTCCGGATTCAATACGCCAGCAGGACAGAAACGTCCAGCAGGACATGGCGCAGCTACTCCAGAGCCGGCTGGGCAGTACGAACCTTCTGGGCATGTCACCGGCGCTGATAGACCTTCAGGGCAGTATGTTCCTACTGGACATGGCTGGGGCACAGCGGTCTCCTCTTCGCAGTATTTTCCTGTTGGACACATCCCCGTTGGATCTGCATTCGCCTCGCCTTCGCAGTAGTACCCGGCTGAAAACAGACAACAGACACGCCGCGCAGGCACATACTCTTCACATACGTATATATACGTCTAAATCTATCTGCTTGTATACAGGTATCAGTATATGCGTATACAATGTGCTATGTGCAGGTATTTTCTATGTACGTAAATATATGCAGTATTATACGTATTCCAGGTACATTGCGTACGAGGTAATATTTACATATATGTATATACATATACTCAAGCGTATATGCATGCACATATATATATATATATATACATATATAATGCTGTATGCCCACAGCTTTCGGTGGAATGCCTTTTATATTTTTAACATATGCCAAACTCTCGCTGTAATGTCGTCTTAAGTCTTCTTATGTGTCCGATTTTTCCTAGGTGCTTTCTACTTTTTCCTTGCGTGCATCATGCCCGCCAAGCAAGCGATATATATTAGCGTTTTCGTCAGTAGCCAAAGCCGGTTCTTACGAGGACACGCGTCACAGTCCGTAAGGTCGTCTCCTTTGGTCTCTGCTCGGTGTGTCCCAGGAGGACAAGGCAGGGGAACCGCTGTTCCGCCTGGGCAATAATGTCCGGGTGGACATTCGTCTGCCGCTGTTAGCTCACTCTGCCCGGGTTGACACCTGTAACCTGAAGAAGAGCACGACGGGAGATATATTCAGGCAGCAGCACACGGAACCGTCAAGGAACAAGGGCTCGTCTATGAGACTGCAACACTGTATATACATACGTGTATACTCACTAGACATACATATATGTATATATATATATATATATATATATGTATACACATGTACATCTGAATATGTATATATCCATATACACATATGTACGTATACACACGCGTATATATATATATATATATATATATATATATATATATATATATATATATATATACCTGTCCATAACTGGATATCTGTATCGTGCTGCACGTGCCGTTGTGCCCTACCTCGGGAACACGCGGCACACGCGTCCGAATCGCGTACACGCACATCGTACAAGGATGGTTTCATGTCAATACATCGATATATTTATATCACTAAATGTGTATTTGGATAGATATGAACCTGTATATATCTACATATGCATACGTATACCCGTATGTATATATACATACATGTGTGCGCATCCATATATTCATGTTGTAGTCGACGTGCGCTTGTGAGCTGCCATGAGAATAGCAGAGGCATGCATAAGAGTCTGCTGCTCTTTCTGTCATGCTGTAGACACCAACGCGACTTACCTCGAGGATATGCCAGACGGGCACCAGAATCTCTATACACATATGTACATATGTGTATATGTATATATCATATAAAAACGCGTTCATATCTATACACAGACATACATATATATATACATGCCGAAACATGAACATGTTTCTGTGTATACGTACATATACATACCTATATGCATATAGATGTGTCGACGCCTGTTCCTATCTAGCTATTCATGCTATGCCGTACATCGCCTTGCGGCGTACCTAGAGGACATGGGGGACATGCGTGACCGTCTGCTGCTCTTTCTGTTATGTTGTACATGCCATCGCGACTCATCTAGGCTTCACGCGAGACATGCGTCAGAAATCTCATACATATTTGTGTATGCATCACATTTGTTCTGTGCATAGGAACACATGTGTATACACGCACACATATGCTTATATATATGGACGCCTGCTCGGACCTGTATACTTGTGTAACGCTCTATATGGCCTTGCAGCCCACCTCCACGACATGCGACACACGTATCAGGATGTCTATACACGTGCACGCATGTACTATACAAAGACGCATTTGTCTATATATATATATATATATATATATATATATATGGACGTCTATCTACCTATACATACATACATACATAATTACGTATAGATGCGGTAAAATCCTCAGAGTTGTATGTTTAGGTTACGCTGTACGTGTCGCTGTGGCTTACTTCAAGGACGTGCGAGAGATGCATAATATTCTGCCGCTCTTTCTCCCATGCTACACATGCCACTGTGATATGGCGCGGGGAACGCGAGACATGCATCAAAATCCGTATAGGTATATGCGTCTATACCAGGGAAAGACGTATTTATTTTACACCTACGAAAAGCTGTGTACCCATGTACACGGATGTATACATATATATACATGTGCATGTAGCAACGTACGCCCCTGCTTGTATCTGTATCCTCATGTTGTGGTGCACATGCCTTTGCAACCTACCTCGAGGACATGCGAGACATGCATCCGTATCTGCTGCTTTTTCTGTTACGCTGTACATGCCGATGGGGCAAGGGGTAGGACTGTTTGATCCAGCAGGGCAATAATAGCCGAGAGGACAAGCGACTACATCTGAATCGTTGGGGCAAAAGTACCTGAATGTCCAGCATTTACACAAAAGAGGAGGACACCGCTATCAGAAGAAACACATTCCAGTTACATGCGCCACTACAAACCTTCTTCAGAACCGCTGGTTAGCTGCCACCAAGGTACTTTCGTGCACGCACTGTTGTACAAGGTGAATTATATATATAGATATACATATATGTGTGTGTATCTGTAGAGAGATCGATAGTTAGATAGACAGATATACAGATACATGAATAGTAGCTCAGACACAGACACCCCTCCGCAATTTCAGAGGGCACACATACTGTGACAGAAGTGGGAATATATATGTTTATCCTTGTAGATGTAAAGACACGTATATATGTACTATGTAGAGGACAAACGTACTTGGACATTTCTGGGTGGCACACACTCTGTGACGGAAGCAGCACCATAGCTGCACCGACGATTATATATATACATATTTGACGTATGGATCCCAGCGAAGTATGCAAGAGAGACTATAGTGCGGCAACTACGGCAGGCAGCTACGCAACATGCTTCTCCCCTTCTCTGATAAAAAGCGGTAGCAGGGGTGGTGATTATGATATCTTCTTCTATTATATTCCGCCTGTTCTACACGTAGAAAACATCGCCTCTACTACGTAAGCGAGCATAGCGCGCCTCAGCTATGTAAACGCGCTTATTAGTATGCCTGTGCTGTGCTCCATGTAGCTTCTCCGGCTGCATATACTGTGCATGTCTTCCCTATAGTAAGTGGCCACATCTGGCTTAGGTTCCGCTTGGTGCGACAGCTCTGAGTAAGCGTACCGAAATGTGCCTCCCTTATGTGACCGAGCACAGATCGCTTGTGCTGTGGCTGGGATAACATCAGCAGCCCTACATATCACGACCCGCCTCCCGTATGTAAGCGAGCATGATAGCATGTCACATCCCTGTGCTCCCTCTGCATCTATTGGTGCCCGTACCCAACTGGCCCAGCCTATCTAAGCGACCATAACAACATGTCTCTCTCCTGTGCTTCCATAACACCTCTAGGTGCAATATAGCGTAACACGCTCCGTTGTAGAAACGAGCATAATAATCTCCGTATGCGGTGCTTGGCGTAACATCTACAGCCGCATACAGCACAACTTGCCCAATTTATGTAAGTGAGTAATAATACGCCTCATCTCTATGCTTCCTCTGCATCTATAGGCGCATGTAAGTGGGCCCGACGTACCCTGCAGGACACTGAGTACATTCCGATACGAATCTGGCTCCTTTATAGACGACCACAGTATTTGTTGGGCACTTCAGCGGGGCCTGGCATCCTTCCGGACAGTAGAAGCCGATTGGGCAGGGCATACCACCATACCTGAGATCACGAGGCCCGCCGCACACACATGTGGCTTTCACAAAATGAAAATGGAAGGGGCACATGCTGTTTGTAGACTGGTACATCTGAGTGGACACCCACGTATGTAGACATATTTGTGTATGGCACTGTATAGATACTAGCGTCCACGCGTATATACCTTCGATGTTGACACATAAGTACATACAGACATAAGTACACTTACTGTATACATACTCTGGATGCACATATAAGTATGCATACGTATATATGCGGAGCGCGGTCTACGTCTGTACGAGCACTCCTCTGTTCATCCATCGTACGCAACAGATCACCCCATATCTAAAAACATGATGCTCGTCGCGCGGGTAGCTTTCGTATAGGGAGGCCTAGGCCGCGCGTATTCTTAGCGTAGGTGTGATTTTTGCTCCACACACATGTGTGTATACGTACATGTGTATAGCGCTACATACATGCTAGTAGCATGTGCACATATTTCCGACGCATACTTATATGGGTCTATGTATAAATTTGTATGCATTCTGTACAAATGCATACATATATATACATACATATATATATATATATATATATATATATATATATATACGAATATCAGCCTACGTCTATACGACCACATACGTGTATATATGATGTACACAAATGCTGAATGCCCGATGCTTACCGGCAGGAAACAAGACACCTAGCCACAGAGGCAGCAGACGGCGGAAGAAGAAGACGAAGAGGGCTGGGAGGAGGGACGGTCAAGCTAGTGCGACACTGGATACTGGCCACCTCCACCCATGTAACATACATATATACATATATACATACATTAAAATATCTATATATATATTATTTGAGCAGAAGCTGACCGAGTAGCCGTAATCCAGTTGATTTCGTTCATTGGCTCCCTCTCCCCTGGATCAGTCACAATTTCGGGAATAAACGGAGCTTCTTCTCTCTGTGAGACATCTGGATTTGGATACCCGTTTCCCAAACCGCAGAAATACCTGAAACAGATGCATAAGCATCACCACCGCAGCACAACAGGTTCTCGCGCTCTTCACAACAGAATAGCTACGAATATGTGCGAGAGAGACTGATAGACACCGTGGCGCTCCATTCTATAGAGAAAGACAAGCATATATATATATATATATATATATATATATGTACATAGATGTGCACGTGTATATGTATATATATATATATATATACATATGTATATATATATATATATATATAATTATATGCCGGCGGTGAGCGCTGCGAAGATTGACTGACAGCACTAAAAAAGAAACTAACAACTTGGCCGTGAGAATCCACGTAAACTAGTAGATAGATACACATATATGCGTATCTGTGTATATGTGTATACATGGCCTGTGGTTTCTGCTATTCACAGATTTGAGCAGCAAGGACAGTTGTGACAGACGCATGGCATCCGTTTTGAACAATTCGGGTCCCCCTGTTTCCTTCCAGGCACATTTCTCTTCACTGGCTGCTCATGTCTGTTGCAGCAAAAGAAACCACTCAAGCATGTAGACTAGAAGCATATATACGTGTACACACACGTACGTCTATATGCATGCATATATATGTATACGGCTACATATATATACACTGATCGGCTAATCGAACGTCAGAAGGAAGCCTTTGAAATTCTCACACCTGGGACCGGTGGCCTAAAACCTGAGTGTGGAAAGGTGGAAGATTTCCTCCGGCTTCAGGAGAAAGCGAGGTCAATGTCAAAAAAAAGGATGAAGAAGAAGAAGAACGAGAGAAAGGAGAAGCAGCCGAAGAAGGAATGAACACGCAGAGGAAGAAAAAGGAAAAGGAGAAGAAGCACAAGAAGAAGAAGAGGACGAGGAAGAGGAAGAAGAAGAAGAGGAAGAAAAAGAAGAAAAAAACGAAGAAGAAGAGAAAGAAGAAGAAGAAGAAGAAGAGAAACACCGTTTGTCACCTGTCTGATGAGGCCAACCTTACGGCTGCTGCAGAAAGGGGAGGCCCTGTGTGAACATCCGGAAATGTTGGTCTTACAAAAGAGAAGACGGAAGTGGAAGACGGGAGAGGAAGAATAACGAAAAAAATGTAGAGGAACAAGAAGAGAAAGAAGAAGAGGAAGAGAGAAAAGAACATGATGCCTGTTTCAGTTGCCTGATCACCCCCCTCCTCAGTGAAAAAACGCTCATTGCCACTAAAATAATTCATTGCGCGCTATTCGCAGATAGGGCTATGTTATTCTGTGTATATACATATATATGTGTATGGACGATCAACTGAAAAGATATATATGTATGCATATGCATACATATATCGGGCACATGGCTGAGAAAGTATATGTAGCGCTGCGCACCTGTATGTATGTATGTGTCCACATGTATGCGTATAAATATACTCAGCATATACTACTAGTAGTGGTAGCGGCAGCGATGAAGAGTACTTTTATACACGGGTGGGTACCACCCGCAGATAAGGTGTATACGTGTGCCTGTTCTGCAGCCGCACAAGTCATTCAATGACCGTCTACGCATATATATGCACAGATATATATATATATATATATATACGGATATATACATGTAAATACACCCAGATATACATATGTGTAGTCCTCTTATCCCTCCCGCTCGACATAGCAGATATTTGTAATGTATGTACCCGGCAGCACAGTTTCCTGCAATGACTCCTGCGCGACAGTAGCGTCCAAGAGGACAAGGAGTACAACTTGTCTGAATATCATCGCGAATGTCGTGCTTCATGTTGACGAAAGAGCCGCGCGGGCATTCCACTCCGAAAGCGCTACCTTCTGGGCAGACCTGCAGCAAATCGCAGATATCAAGAAAAAACCGCTGATAATACTATGATTGGTGCCAGTCATCGTATACGCGTATATTCAATGAGCATCTGACGGTTGAACCAGGAGAGTATAGGAGCGGTGTTTCTGTATTATCCTGGAGATAGGGCCACGTCAAGCAGCGCTGAATATCCATCATCTCTAGCACTACTCTGCGTAGTGCTAGTTGTTTCAGTACTACCAATACGACTACTAGTAGCGTAACACTACCAGCTTTTCTCCTAGCATTACTACTACTACTGGTGGGTGGTGGCGTTTGTGTATACGCATTGCGCCGGCCACGCCAAGAAGCAATGGACAGACTGCTTCACGTTGTCTATTTTTAGTACTACTAAGACCGCTACTACCACTGGTGCTAATGTTGGTACTCTTACCAATACAACGGCTAGTACTACAGCTACTACTAGTGCTGCTACTACCATCTTACCTGAATACGCATAGTTACATATATGTACGGATGCAGCGGTAGCGAAGAAGAGTATGCGTGATACCCTGGTAAGACATCCGCCACGTGTCGCCTTATGACTATCCACATCCATCTTCCACACGTAAGCTCGCCAAGAGCTCGGCTACATTTCCAAGAGAAGTAACTGACGCGCGGCAGATGATGAAGCTTCGAGTCGGGGAGAAGATAAGGAAGAATCGCTGGCCTGTCTGGCCATTGACACAAACTAGCTGCTCACATGTGTGCCTCTGCTTGACATATACGACGATACATATACACATACATATATATATGTGCAACTACTACTGCTAGTACTGCTATCACAACTAGTAATATTGCTACTATTGCTACCGTTAAATGCTGAGTCGTTTGTCATACGGGGGAAATGCTTCCACAGGCGTCCTTTCGTTTGGACAGATGACGTTCTGCTATTTAGTATGAATCTGCTGCTTCTGTGCCTGCGGACTGAAGCGTGTTGAATGACGGACAGACGACTTGTTCCATTACACAGCGTTCCCGCGTACAAGTCCCCCTCTTGGTCTGAACCAGCGGATAGACGCTCTTTCCCATCCAACAAAAATACATACAAATATATATATATACATATATATATATATATACCCCTATGTATATACGGTGTATCTGTGTATGTATACACATATATATATATATATATATATATATATATATATATGCACACGTACATATGCGTGTATACGCGTATGTATATATGCATATATATCCAACGTACGTATATGTATACGCGTACGTGTATATATGTACAACGCATACACGCGTGTAAATGTACACATAGATATATATACTTTGAGCCACTTACGCGTCCGGCAGGGCAGGGTCCAGGCTGCGGGCTTGTTCCGTTGCAACTGTAGGCATCGGGAATGGAGAAAGAGACAGAGACGGCGGCAGCATTTTTGCTATACAGCCGGGCATATATAATTGCTGAAGGAAAATTCCTTTTCTTTTCTGTGGCAAAGACAGACAGTCGATCGCGGGGGTGATAAAATACATCTGCGGAAAAAAAGTGTCTCAGGTCTGCCGGACGGCCATGAGTCAGTCGCTGTCATATTCGGTTGCTAGACGCGGCAATAACAGAACTGAAATTCTAGCAGCTCCACGTCGTAATTCTACTTGTGATATCCATTTATCTACGATCTGCCACTGCACAGACATTTGACTGGCAGCTGCAAAAGCCGGTGGTTCCCTCCATTGCTGCACGCATCCTCATAGCTGCCAGCTGTATCTCTATTAGATCTCTTTGGCACACGCCTTTTTTGGACCTGGAGAACGCTTTGCCACCTCTAATACAACATACACATATATATATGTATATTTATATATATATGTATATACGTACATACACATATATTCAATGTGTAAGTATGAATGTATGTATGCCCCTGTAGTATTTCTACTAGACTAACGACCCTTGGGGGCATGGCGAACACGCAACCATTTTTTCAATAGCATGTACATATACGTGTATGTATACACAAGCGTATACATAGATATGTGATCAGTGTATACGTATATATGACCCCCTGGCACCTCTCTTGCACACCTCGCCATGTTGACAAGAAGACACGCTTTCACCTCTAACATAGCCTGTGCACACACACGTATGTATATAGGTGTATCTAAATACATATATGATGTATTCTCATGTACGGGTGTCCCTCCAGTGCTTCTCTTACGCGCGTCCCCTCTCTGACCAAAAGTCGTCTATCACCTTCAATGTTATCAATACATACCTCTACATATACGTATATAAACGTATATGCACGCCTGCGCAATGTGTATACATGTACACATAAATATACATATATATATATATATATGTATATATATACATGTATCTTTCTTACGTATATCCTTTTGGACATGGTGAACAGGATTGTGCACCAGGCAGTGGCGTATATTGGCCAGGATTGCATGGCTCGGGGGCAAACGACCCTTCGGGGCAGAACCAGCCAGCTGGGCAGACGGCGCCTACAATTCCATTCGTGGGCGTACTAGTGGGCGAGCCGGAGAGGCAATAGTAGCCTGAAGAAGCAAGAAGTAAGTTATTCACATATATGTATGTATATACGTACATATATACATGCATGCATTCAAGTGTACTGGTAACATATGCATGGACGCTAAGGAACGATCATGAATATGCGCAGAGAGGAATGAATATGTGTAGTTCTTCTATAGGAGAGGTCGTGGCAACGTAAAAACACTCATGAGCGGTATTGTCAGCATACAGGAGTCGTAATGTCTCGCTCTACGTATCCGCATTTGAACATGTGTACACCAATGCACCTGCAAATAGATACGTATATACGTATATATATATGCGCATCTATATAGCCTTGCTTTCCCCCAATCCCTGTCACGACCCCAGAGGGATGCGGGTGCAACAAATCCCTACACGCGGTCCCGCTGTTGATGCGTACACGGACGTAGATGCTTATGACCGATGTATGCAGGATGTAGATGTCGCCATATTCTGCTCAATACGTATGTATTCGCACATATAGACATATATACACACATGGGTGTACACACATGTATAGATATGTATAGCTGCGCCTTTTCTCAGTCCCCATGGCCAACTTACAGGAATACAGATGCAAAAAAGCCGTACATGTCGTAAAGTGTCTATGTGCATACGGGCATCGGCCCTCATGAACGATGTACACAGAGTGTAGGTCTCGTCGTAACGGAAAAGCTATGCATGCAGGCGACCACGCACACACGTGTGTGGAGTTCACCTTTAGCGCAAGGTCCGGTAGGGGAAGTTAGGCCATGACCAGCGCAATAAAACCCAGGCTCGCAGGGTTTACATGAAATCGCCGCAATTGAGTCCTACAAAGCACATACGGCACAAGGTAGAGAAAAGTAAGAGATGGGTACAGACACCTCAAAAACACCCGGCTGCCTATCTTGTAAAGTCGCGTGTTCATGCTATGCATATGAATACAGCTGTATATACATATACATATATGCATTTTTATGTGAGGACACAGCCAGAATCGAGTCAGCAGAGTTTGACATGATACGTGTTATTGTGATGTATATATACAAGACTACAGCAACTATCGAGTGGGCAGAATCTCATATCAAGATGGTGGTCATATACATGATGAATGCAGCCAGTGCCGACCCAGCAGGGCCTCGCACCAAAATGTTTAGGGTATATATATATATATATATCTATGTGAATACCGAACACAGCCTCTCTTGCTTCCGCAGACTGTCACATATAATTGAGCGCCGTCTGCTTACTCAGGCATGGCCGCTGCCGATTCAGCGGGGTCTCACAGAAAATGCTTGCAGTATACACGCATACACATGTATACACATATATACTATATATATATATGTATATATGCGCTGCGTCTGCGGGTACCAGAATGCAGCCATTTACAGGCACACGGACTGTTCCGCGAAAATAGTGCGGTATGAACGAGACCCCCTCGGCCAGGTCACGCAGCTTGCGGTTCGTACCTGATATGTCCCTGGATGGCATGGGGTGGGTTCGTAGGTGCCTCTGGGGCAGTAGTGTCCCCGTGGACATGCGCCGTGGTCGGGGTGCTCAGGGCCGAAAGGCGTGAGAGAGGGCCTGGCGGCCTTGGCGCCCGCGACGCAGACGTATCCGGGCTCGCAGAGATCCGTGGGGGCCGTGAGGCCATAGTCACTGCAGTAGTGGCTCCTCATACATGGCGTACATTCCGCAGCCCCAACACTACTGGAAACAGTACCCGGAGGACACAGCTTGGGGAAGATAGATCCTTCTGGACAGTAGTGACCTTCCGTACACAGCTCCTTGGGTCGCCCAGCAATTTTACTATCTGGACAGTAAAAACCAGCGGAGCAGGGTGAACACTCCTCCTGCGCAGCGTCGCTGAAGGTGCCTGGCAAGCATGGCTGAAAACAAGTCCACACAGAAAAGAACCGGGTACAAGAAGATAGCAACCCAGCGAGTACTAGTAAAGTCCACAGGACTAGTAAAGTCCACAGATGAATTTTTCGGTTTAGGGATGAACACGGCGGTCCGCAGAGAAATGCTGAGGCTCGCAGAAGTATTTGTCGGTCCACCACCACTACTGCAGCCCTCCAGACGGTGTGGGAATTGTCCAGAAAAGACTGATGTCGCAACAATTACCTGTTCCCTATAGGATCCTTCAGGGCAATAGTAGCCAGCAGTGCAGGGCCCCCCTTTATCACGTTCTTTGCCAGAGGGCCTTGGGGTGGCACAGCCTTGCTTGCAGACGTATCCAGCAGCACAAGGAACCATCGCACCTCCTGCTGGACAAGCGAAGCCAGGAGGACACGGCGCGCAGTCCTCCTCAGCTTGCGCTCCTGGGTATGGAGAGACTTTCCCGCTGAGGCCACAGCAGAGTTCAGGCGCACACAGGGGGGCCAGCGCCTATTGTACGTCAGCGTCTGCGAGTACACGAAGAAGGGGTCTTTCTAACTGTGTGTCTTATACGCACACAGGTACCTACACATATGAACAGATAGTCACTGCGCTAGTAGCGACAGCTACGCAGAGCGAGCGCCAGCACCTGTTGTCCATCCACGCCTGCACGTATCTACAGAAGGAAGGAGGGAGTCTTTCTACGTGTCTGCATTGAGAAGATACATACACATGTACATGTACAGACATAGTGAGGCTGCTGCTACATGCAGCGAACATGATACATACAGAAGGCGTCAGCAAATCTTTCACATCTACTTCTGCCTTTAGTCCCCCAAGCGCTGGGGAGTCGACCGTTTCAGTTCGCCACGAAAGATAATGAAGCCACTAGCTGTAACGGATCATTCTTTAAAGCGGTGGAGAGCTTTTCTCTGTATGTGCGTATTGTGTGTATAAATGTACACCTATATACGTGTAGTGACTGCGCTGTCAGCTAAGGGGAATATAGTACATAGAAGGCACTGGCACTTATTTTACCACCACCTCTGCATCTGTTCACGAAAGGGGCGAAAGGGTCTTTCTACGTGTTGGCATTGTGGACATCTGTTTTACAAATGTAGATGTATACATCGAGAGATTCAACTACAAACCACAGAGACTGCGACACATAGAAAGTCGTCAGCACTTCTTGCACACTGACACCTGCTTGTATGTCTACGTTACATCTGCCGAAGAAGTAAAGGTGCACTTCTACGTGTGTGCATACTGGATGTGTATATCTTTTTATGCATATGTAGAGAGAGCAAGAGAGAGAGAACAGGATGAAGGTGCAGCTGACTACAGCGCATAGGATACATACAGAAGGCGCCAGCACTTACTTTACATCCAAGTCCTCATGAAGTCGTAGAAGGGGAGACGGGATATTTTCATGTGTGTGTTGCGGTTACATATGAATATGTATGTAGTGAATGCGCTGTTGACTACATGCGTGTGTCTCTGTTGTACTTTTAAAATGCACATACGGGTGGTGACTGTAGGATTCACTATACGCGCCCCCCTACGTTATATTTATACAAAGCAAACTGCCCTTTCTCTAAGTGTGCTCCACGTATAAGTACATATACGCTTGTACATGCCTGTACTTGTGCATGCTTATAAGAACGGTGCCTGTATTGCGAACCACGTTCGTGTGTCTCCGTTACGATGATTGAAGGGATAGGGGCATTTTCCTTACTGCGTTTTGTGCGCACACGTCCAGGTGGTGACTGCACTGTGAGTAAGACACGCATAGACTAGGCTCGTACACTTGTACATACAACGACGGCAAATACTCGACACGTCAACATGAGAGGAGTTGTCACCGCCAAAGACAAAGACATACCTCGCGCACACAAGAGGCGCTTGAACTCCGGCCGTACAGTAGTGCCCGACAGGACACAAGTCGTTGACGTAGGTCTCGCAAGATCGTCAGGATTGACGTCAGCAGCACGAGGCGTCGGAAGGAAAGCAGCAAGTGCGCAGAAATATCCCTAAAAGTCAGACGTGTATCACCAGCGCGGAAAGAAGAGAGAAACTGGCAAGTCGGCGTGCTGCCACATATCTTCCACCATATATACTTAGCCGTACACACATATATACAGATATCTACGTATGTGTATGTATATATTCTTATTGTGTGCTTACGTGTACGGAGAATGACCGTGACTTCCGCTTTGCATGTAGACACAGGCAACAGTCTCAATATTCACAGATGTTCTAGTGCTTCATTGACTCTGTAATGAGCATATGACCCTATTACTACGTCTCGAGGTAGGAAAAGTAGGTAGGTTTCAGCGCGTGCGGGCGCCGCGTTCGGTTGTTCTACCTATTTTATTCAGAGCAACAGCTGGAGTGACTGCTTGCAGGTGATCCAGTCCTGTGTGGCATTCGTTCAGTATGGAGAAACAGGCGGAGCTGAGTGCTACGTGTTTCTTCGCGCGTGCTATATAGTGGGTCTGCAGCGACAGGTGTGAGTCAGTGTGTATGTAGTTATCTCAATTGTATCTACTGGCTGTTTTACCTGCGCAGGGTGGCTAAGTGAGCAGCGGAGAGTCAGTGCTTACAGCTGCTTCACCGGAGTGTGGTGTCTCTCCACATGTGGCAACACGTGGGACTTCGCCTGTTCGGATGTATCTAATCCGGGTGTGCCCTCCGTATGCGGCAAGAGGTGGGAGTGACCGCTTATAGGTGCTTCATTCACATCCGCTTTCTCTTCCGTATGCACCGACGGGGGGGAGTGACTGCTTGGATGTGCTTGATCTGAATTTGCTGTTTGTTTATTTGAAGCAGCAGCGGGCTTGACGGAAGCTGAGCGTCAGCGGTCGTCGTCGGTATGTCAAAGTGTCTCTCTCTTGCCTCTTTGCAACAGTAGTTCTCGCTGCTGCTGCTGCTTCTGCCTTCGCTTTTGCTGCCTCTGTGGCTGCTGCTGGTGTTGGCGTTAGTGTATCTGCTGCTTCGCTCACACTGACTATGTGGTCAATGATTGCCTTACCGCTGCGCAGTCCCCAGACGGAGCTGAGAGACCTCGAGCCCCGCAGTATTTGCCAGGTGGGCATAGTGTACCAATCTGTAGCTGCCTCCAGCCCAGTTTCGGCTCCATATGTTCCATAAGGACAAGGAAAGGCTTCAGCTATTCCGACACCTTCGGGGCAGTAGAAGCCCTGGGGGCATGCCTGAGCAGCAGAGCATAGATATATGCAGCCAAGCACATATATAAGGAGCTTTATGTTTCTCCACGTGGAAGCAGAGGACGACGCATTGCAACTACTGGAGCCACGGGCGCGCGGGGACACGAGAGACACGAGTATTACTGTGGACCATACAAACTTAGAAGGCCAGAGACATCTATTGAAGCATCAGAGGTATTATCACTCTTACATATGTGTATATACAATTATAAAAATTGATCTACATACACGCATACATATGTGTATATACAAATATATGTATATATATGAATATACGTATATGTACACGCGTACACGTACGTATGTGCTTGTGCGCATATATGTGTGCGTACGCTTGTGGGTACATATGCGTACCACCCAACGGTGGGACAGCACAGATATAGTCTCCTCCGATTCTTCCTCACTGCACCTACGGCAAGGACGAGTCGGGTGGCAGGACCAGCTATATTGCGGCCTTTCTGAGACAGGATTTGTACCCGTCATGCCGAAACTGACGGGTGCGTAGGCTTGTATGTAATTACTAACCAGCAAGGCATGTGTGTAGGTGAAGCAGACATGCGTACATAAGTTGCATATACGCCTGTTGCTCCTATACTTACTTTCGGCGTTGAGGTTGCTCCGCCCTCACAGTAGGACCCCGCCGGGCACGGATCGCACTTGTCTTGTCCACGAGATTTCTGTAAAGTTCCAGGAAGACAAGGCGTCGGCTTCGATGGACCTGCGCGGAGACGAACGTCACAAGGCAACACATGCATCGGACAAAAAGAAACAGCGAGAACTCATCAGCAACGGGGGTCATAAGACAGATAGGCGTCAGAAGCAACGCATGCAGTGGACACAGAGGAAAAGCAAAAGCTTACGAGTAGCAGAAATAATGACATGTGTCTCTCCACCAGTGCACCTGCGGACACGTACGCCTACATTCATATACATGTATACCTGTCCACGCGCATACATACATATATGTGTGTACATATTACACGTGTAAACATGCACGTGCATATATACGCATTCACAAACATGTATATATCTTTGTATACAGATACAGACGTGCATATACCAAGTCACCGCAGGAGCGTGTAGTACTTCTCTGCTCACGTCCACCTTCAGCAACGCTTCGAGCGCACGCGCACCACAGTTACGTTGGCTGTCCACACTGTGTGTGGAGACATAGAGTCCTGCTCAAGGACATATAAATAGACGTACACACATTCATGTATCTATACACATAGTCTTATATATATATGTGTGCATACCCACATACCTACACCAGTATACATATCCATACTCAAAAACAGAATTACCTGAATGTAGACTTATGTACCTGTATACACATATGTATACGTGTATATTACCCCGTCATGTAGACCTTTAGATTTAAAGAATGAGCGAGCAAATATGCTTTGGAGCCGCGCGCATTGAATGCTGTGGTCTCAGAGGCGACGCTGAAGAAACACCGTCAAGAAGCTGCTGAATGTGAAGCATCGACATCGAGTACTAATATGCGAGCACTGCTGATACGAAGCGCACGCAAGTACTCGAACAGGTGGCTTTTCCATAAACATGCGCCTTCAAAAAACCAGAAAACCCACGGGAGGTGGCGCGCACGATGGTACGATACATCTATACATACACGTCAACATATATATATATATATATATATATATATATATATATATATGTAATCATGTAGCGACGTACACATAAATATATACATATATATATATATATATACGTATATATCTGCATACATACATATACATATATATATGTGAGGATTTCTCTAGTCCTGCACTTCAGGTCTCCTGTCTATATAATTTACATACTTGCATGTAGTACAACACTTCCTGTGTTGTGGGATGATGACTTGCCTGGGGCGTCAGTTCCCATCACAAGAAATCGAGAGATATAGACCTGCGGCTGCGCGACCACCAGCTTCACCTTCCTCGTATACAGCTGCACGATAGGCCCGGCATGTGTCGTAGCTGGGGAGTCCTCCACTGGGCTGGTCGCCATGATCCAGTCAGCCGCGGCGTCACTCCAAGTCATTAGAAAGAAGCTGCTCACGGCCTGGAGAAAAGGAAGAACATGCACACCATCCGCTTATGTTGGGCGTAGCAGCCGCAGTCATCCATGTAGTGAGGAGAGGACATTTGGCAGGATCTAATTGTGATACGAGGACGCAGCCGTAGAGTCACAGCGAAATCGGAGCTATGGGCTTTCCTGTGTAGCGAGGTACTAATCGCCTGCAGGAGAAGAACATGCGGAGAAGCTACCTACGACGGCTACAGCAGCCGCAGTTATCGGGGCTTCAGGGAGAGGACAAAGAGCAAGAGCACTCCCCGCTGCACGAGGACCAGCAACAGCAGCACGAAGAGCAGGAGAAGCGACAGGAAAAGCAGAAACGTATGAAGAAGAGAAGCAGGAGCGGTAGGGCAGAGAGAGAGGAAAAATGGGAGGCGTAGGACGATGAGGAGGAGAATAAGGAAAAGGAAGAAGATCCGTGGTGATAGAAATAGCACAAGCGGCAGCAGCAGCAGCAGCAGTGGCAGAAGGACGAGGAGTAGGAGTCGCAGCGGCAGCATCAGGGAAAAGAGGGGGAGCACGAGCGTTAGGAAGAGGGGGAGCTGTAGCCGGAGCGGTATCGCTAGCCGTGGCAGCGGCAGCAGCAAGAGCAGCAGACGCCTGGTGGAGAGGGGCTATATACAGCGTACGAGACATCCTCTAAATGCATCTTCGTGTACGTAGGCCTGGCTCTTCCTTTTGTCCGAAGTTCTACAAGATTCACTGTCACCCCCGCGTATAAACGTATACATATATACACATATATACATGCATATATATGTGCATACGGAGGTATAGGAATATCTGTATACGCACATGTCTACCACTATTACCACCTACTACTACTCCTGGCTCAGACGAGTGCCTCGAATGCGGCTGAATGATGGTAGGAACAACACATATCCCACACAAGACATCGTTAAAGTTTTTTTTTCGTCTTTCCCCACATGTTGGCCGTCAGGCAGCCCAGAGTAAATTTCATAACGGCTGATGAAGTAGTAGCTCCCCAGGTCGATCTCCAGACTGTGATTCTCTCCTTCCTGGAAGACTGCAGACAGCCAGCCCGTGTTCTCCTGTCCGTCCACTGCATTGCCGGGCCTCTTCGCCCCGACAAAGTCGGAGAGAACTGTGGCGGTAGCATCTTTCCCGGTTGTAACACTGATGAGTTCTGCGTAGAAACAGAACAATACGAAGGTAGTATACGTATATGTATACGTATGACTATATGCGTATGTACATGTACGTATGTATATACATAGATGATACATATATATATATATATATATATATATATATGTATATATATATATATATATATGTGCACACATATGTAGGCCTATGTACGTATATGTGTGTATATATATATACGTACATATATGGAAGTAAAGCTCAAGAGCATGCATCCTGATGGAGAACGAGTGTTGGCACAGCAGGTGTAGCTGTAGCAGCTTTCTCAACCGTAGCGCTGACCCGTCCTGCATAACAGAAGATGGGTAAATGAGTACGCTTGAGAGCAGACACCATATATGTATATACACATATAGATAGATAGATAGGTAGATTACTGCAATAGTCGGTCTTCAGGGAGAGGTGCCTAGTAGCAAAACAGGTCAGCTCATCCGTGCAGTTGATACAGAGGAAGTATGACAATGGCCCGAAGACTCTGTGCAGCAGGGATTCCGACTGTGCTTCAAAGCGAAAGAGGAGGGTCTGCTTCTGCTGACATCTTCCCGGTGATCAGTATTGGGTGCTGAGAGGGGTTAGACAACTTCACGCATATATATATATATATATATACATATATATATATATTTGTGTACATATGAATATCCATATATATGCATGGATATAAAGATATAAAAACATACAGGTATATGAAGACTTGTGTGTGTGTGCACCGACATAGCAAGTATAAGTTTTCCAAAGAATGCAGAAAGAATGAGGAGATCTGGTTGAATGCGAGAGGAGAGGCAAGTGCTGCATCGCGCCACAAATACTCCGCCCCTACTGGCGCCGGTCCCTTTCGTTCTCACGAGACTAACACACTTGCACACGAGTCTTTACACTCCGCCTGCGCAGGCGCCTGCGTGTGTGAAGAGTCTGCTGGTGGGACATGCACTTGGTTCTCCAGTTGCACATGTGCCTGCGTGTATGAGGTGTGTGAGAGTGACAGCTGGTTTGCTTGTCACCTAGTTGCGCCGGAAGCCTCTCTCTAATCGTCTATTGCAGTACTGAATCTTTGCTAACAGTCTGGGTCGGGATTGCTTCTCTGCTAAGCACGAGGTCTGTTCTTCGTCGCCGTTACGAATAGAATAGGGCGTCAGTCAATAAACGCCTGCATCGGCCTGGCTCTGAGACCGACGAGCATTCGGCAGCACGTACCTGCACTTCCCTTGCAGAAATGATTCTCTGGACATATCAATTCAGTGGGACTGGACGCCCCTTGCGGACAGTAATACCCATCTTGGCAGCGTCCAGAAGGGACGGGCTGCCCCGCCCCCTCGCAGTACATGCCGGGGGGACACGGCACGCACTCCGTCATGGTACTACCTCCCGACCAGGGCAGGTAGGTACCTGCAGTGCAGAACAGAAGGAGAGCCGACCCGCATATCAGTGAATCATTTCAGACAGCTGAAGTTTCCCCTCCTCTCTCCTTTCCACACACATGCCGACAGAAGTTTTCATTTTCAGATTCTTAGACGTTTTGACGCTGAAAGATTTGGATGGGTACAAATGCGTCTGTTCACTTCAACGAATGCAGCTTCAGCTATATAAAGCCTACCTTCTCTCTGTGTGCGCGCACATCATCCAGCTGGAGTGTTTTAGCTTATTAGAGCTGCACGGCCTACAGCACTGTCCCTGTCCCGACGCACGTCTTTTTTACAATGGCCACATGTTCTCGTATACCCCCCTCCGCGTTATATATATATATATATATATATATATATGCATATGCGCATGCGTGTCCTCTATTATACTTATACACATGGTGTGCCTGCATATATATATATATATATACGCACATATATACTTGTGTCTCCATACATGTTGTATACTATATATACATGCGTAGTAGTCCTGCATATATTAGAAATATATATATATATATACATGTGCATCGAAGTCGGCAAGCAGGATGTTCTACGTTACATATACAGATCCTACACCGCCCACAAGTCACCCCAGATCTCCTAAGTCCCTTTCTCTTACAAACGTGAACTGGGAGCTTTCTGGAGGATAACAACGGAACACATATTCATACATATGCAACCTTTCCGCCCACACTGGCTTTGGTGAGTGACTTCTTCAAACATTCGGTACGCATCATTCCTCACGTACTGCACAGGTATGCCGTGTGAACTCTCAGCTCTCTGTACGCGTAGCTTCACGGTAGAAATATTTATCTGTCTGTTCTCAGGTGCGTACTCCCGCAGGTCTGTGTGTACCTCGCTCCCCGTACACTGTACAGGTATCTTTCTGAATTTTCTCGGCCCTTTTTCTAGATCAGTCCACATTGTCTACACAGTTCTACGATCGTTTCTCGGTTCTTCGTCTCTATGGAGCAGACAGGGCTACGGGGATCGCTTTTCGTTGCCGCCTGGATGGAGCAGCATAAGGCACGAGCTGCCGGAGAGATGGGCATCCCTCTATGCGTACAGCAAGAGCCTCACCCCCGTTGAAAACTGCTCTTTTCACGTAAATACGTAGAGGCATCTATGTACACATGCACATATACGTATATGCATATATACGTATATTGGTATATATGTACGTATGTATATGTAAATGTATGCTCACCTGGCGGGCATGATTCCGGAGTAAGTTCTCTGCCGCGGATGTCTGCTCCGAGAGAAAGTCGACGAATTCGGTTATTGCCG